GCCAAATAAGCTGCAGAAGCTGACCTCTTCTCAGTATAAACCTAAAGAGGAAAGAATCAAGCCAAAGGACTTTGCCAATAGAAACGAAATAAGCACAGCGCTGGGAGAGAGAGAGAGGATAGACCCCTTTGCCTGCTTCCTCATCTGCAGATTTTGGAGGCTTGATCAGATAACCTCAAGTTCATTTTTAAGCATTAAACTTCATGTTAGACTTTCATACACCTCCCTAGCCCCTTTCATTTCCTAAGTTAATCTGTGACATAAACAACCATGGGTCATAGTTTTCCTAGAAGAGTTTTGGTCTATATTTGTTATTTGCATTTCCTTTAACTCTCAAAAGTGCCTAGTTTAGAATAAATTGCATGGCCCTCCTACCCTGACTGTACCCATTTTAGTATTGTTTTTATATTTCCAAGGAAAACCATAGATTTTTTAACTTACAAATATATTTCATAACTTGCTTTCTTTTAAAAATTTGGAGAAATTTTTCATTCCTTTGTCAGTGGTTTGTGAACTATCAAGAATTAAAAAAATAGTAATCATAATGTAAATTTTTTAAAAACCCGTATTTTCCAGTGAGCATATATTGTTAACTACTTACTAATAACCTTAGCATATTTAGTACTTCCTTAAAATTATGACTAAAATATTTGTGGAAGAATTAATTCAATATTCTAGGTGATATATTTTAATTATTAAAAGTTCCAAAATATGGTCTTCCACCTGACTTTATTAACAATTATAACAATGATCTCAAAAATGTTCTCAGCAGACGACAGGTCTCCATCCATCATTGTGGCTACTTTATAAGCTAATCAGGTGCCAACCATGGAATATGTTGCTTCCTCTGCACAAACAAGCTGTGTGCTAAATCCCAAATCTTCTTTAAGCCTGGGATGAAAAGTCCTGCCAGTCCCATGAACAACAGCTCACATATTATCCAATGAACTTGAAACACTCCAGTCATAGTGAGCGGCACTGAAGCAGATCCCATAACTGATTACTCAGTTATAAGAGATATTTAACATTGCTTGGTTTTCTGAAGAATACAGAATTCCATACTTTTCTTCAAATATGCACTTTTCCTGATATAAAACATGTCTCATTATAAAGAGAAGTGATTTGTGTCAGCAGTCTTTTCTATTTTCTTAACCACTTAAATCACTGCCTGTGGAACTTCTTTTAAAGTGAAATAAATATGAGGTCCATTAGAAGGAAACAAAAACATTTAGTTAATTTTGTTTTAAAGATACATGATTACCATATTTTTAAAAATGAACTACTGTGTTAGACTGGGTCATTCTATGGCAACTAATTTATTGTCTGCCCTAAACTAATGCAAACAATAGTAACACTGGATTTGGCACTTGCACTTTTCATCTCTTCTAGAAAGTATGCCTGAGTTTTTGGTTCTGAGATTAGGTTTGCTTGGAAGCCTCAAACAGCAATTTTCCTTTTTTTTTTCCAAAATTTGCTTCTGATCATTTCTCATTCTTTTGAATAGGAAAGAGTAGAAGAGGAGAATGTAGAATAAGGTTAAGTAAACAGAGAATCTGTCACATAAAGCAAGTTTAAATCCCAGTAACAGCATCTATGCAGGAAAAACGGAAGCATTATTCTTTTGAAAACATTATTCTTTTAAATAGTATGTAATGACATCCTCCCTAGAGACTTTTTCCATGAAAGAAAAAAAAAATTTCCTCAGAAGTCTTTTTCTGGATTCCAACTGTAACCAGTGAAAGCACAGCTGAAAGTCATACTTCTGTTTTCTTTATCTAAGGTTCAAAATTGGAACTGAAAAAAGGGGCTCATAGGAGTTTCTGCCTGTGCTTGTTTTCTGTTATATATGGGTACTTCCATGAACAAAAAGGCCAAGTAAAAGGAAATCATCACATTATTTCCATAAATCAGTGAGTGCATCTTTACTTAAAATTTCAGCCAAACATATATTTGTCGGTACTTCATTGACATTATGTAACATAAAGCAAATATCTAGCTGAAACATTGCTGGAAAAACATGTTATCTTTACGAATAAAGCCAAATAAGCTGCAGAAGCTGACCTCTTCTCAGTATAAACCTAAAGAGGAAAGAATCAAGCCAAAGGACTTTGCCAATAGAAACGAAATAAGCACAGCGCTGTGAGAGAGAGAGAGGATAGACCCCTTTGCCTGCTTCCTCATCTGCAGATTTTGGAGGCTTGATCAGATAACCTCAAGTTCATTTTTAAGCATTAAACTTCATGTTAGACTTTCATACACCTCCCTAGCCCCTTTCATTTCCTAAGTTAATCTGTGACATAAACAACCATGGGTCATAGTTTTCCTAGAAGAGTTTTGGTCTATATTTGTTATTTGCATTTCCTTTAACTCTCAAAAGTGCCTAGTTTAGAATAAATTGCATGGCCCTCCTACCCTGACTGTACCCATTTTAGTATTGTTTTTATATTTCCAAGGAAAACCATAGATTTTTTAACTTACAAATATATTTCATAACTTGCTTTCTTTTAAAAATTTGGAGAAATTTTTCATTCCTTTGTCAGTGGTTTGTGAACTATCAAGAATTAAAAAAATAGTAATCATAATGTAAATTTTTTAAAAACCCGTATTTTCCAGTGAGCATATATTGTTAACTACTTACTAATAACCTTAGCATATTTAGTACTTCCTTAAAATTATGACTAAAATATTTGTGGAAGAATTAATTCAATATTCTAGGTGATATATTTTAATTATTAAAAGTTCCAAAATATGGTCTTCCACCTGACTTTATTAACAATTATAACAATGATCTCAAAAATGTTCTCAGCAGACGACAGGTCTCCATCCATCATTGTGGCTACTTTATAAGCTAATCAGGTGCCAACCATGGAATATGTTGCTTCCTCTGCACAAACAAGCTGTGTGCTAAATCCCAAATCTTCTTTAAGGCTGGGATGAAAAGTCCTGCCAGTCCCATGAACAACAGCTCACATATTATCCAATGAACTTGAAACACTCCAGTCATAGTGAGCGGCACTGAAGCAGATCCCATAACTGATTACTCAGTTATAAGAGATATTTAACATTGCTTGGTTTTCTGAAGAATACAGAATTCCATACTTTTCTTCAAATATGCACTTTTCCTGATATAAAACATGTCTCATTATAAAGAGAAGTGATTTGTGTCAGCAGTCTTTTCTATTTTCTTAACCACTTAAATCACTGCCTGTGGAACTTCTTTTAAAGTGAAATAAATATGAGGTCCATTAGAAGGAAACAAAAACATTTAGTTAATTTTGTTTTAAAGATACATGATTACCATATTTTTAAAAATGAACTACTGTGTTAGACTGGGTCATTCTATGGCAACTAATTTATTGTCTGCCCTAAACTAATGCAAACAATAGTAACACTGGATTTGGCACTTGCACTTTTCATCTCTTCTAGAAAGTATGCCTGAGTTTTTGGTTCTGAGATTAGGTTTGCTTGGAAGCCTCAAACAGCAATTTTCCTTTTTTTTTTCCAAAATTTGCTTCTGATCATTTCTCATTCTTTTGAATAGGAAAGAGTAGAAGAGGAGAATGTAGAATAAGGTTAAGTAAACAGAGAATCTGTCACATAAAGCAAGTTTAAATCCCAGTAACAGCATCTATGCAGGAAAAACGGAAGCATTATTCTTTTGAAAACATTATTCTTTTAAATAGTATGTAATGACATCCTCCCTAGAGACTTTTTCCATGAAAGAAAAAAAAAATTTCCTCAGAAGTCTTTTTCTGGATTCCAACTGTAACCAGTGAAAGCACAGCTGAAAGTCATACTTCTGTTTTCTTTATCTAAGGTTCAAAATTGGAACTGAAAAAAGGGGCTCATAGGAGTTTCTGCCTGTGCTTGTTTTCTGTTATATATGGGTACTTCCATGAACAAAAAGGCCAAGTAAAAGGAAATCATCACATTATTTCCATAAATCAGTGAGTGCATCTTTACTTAAAATTTCAGCCAAACATATATGCTGTTTTCAAGGGAGAAATACATAAAACTCAAATATGCTAAATGTTAGAGATACTTTACTCTTAAGTTCCTTTCCAGTATGTTATTTTCTTATGCTGAAGTATAATCTTGGGAACATGTTTCCAGTACTCTGGGCTGCTGTTACCACCTGAGGACTTGATCAAAAACAACAGTGGTAATTTTATGTTTTTAACTTTGATATTCCTTGAATATCAGAAGTTAGCTTTTTGTTTTAAACATTTGAAGTATGTTCAAACAACAAAAAAGTAAATAAGCAGAAAAGATTTTAAGGCAAATACCACATCAAAAGTTAAATTAACACATATAAGGATAGACATTTCTCTTCAATGGTTTCAAAACTGTTGCATGCATGTTGAATATAATGGAACAAAAGAAGAAAGACACCATNCAACCAATAGATACATTATGTGTGTGCAGACAACAACATCATCAAGGAAATACTCACTCACTGATATATATGTTTTCTACTGGAAATAAATTTTAAACTTTTAATGATTTTTTGCCATCATAGATCCTGTTTCTCATTTAACTAATGAACTACTTTCCAGGAAAGTTGATGCCACCATACCAAGACTTTGCCATTCTTGTTTTTCAACATGACCACACCATTTAAAAATTTTTCTGTATTTCTCAGAATTGTGTGCTTCAGTCATTTACATAAGATAGTATCTGGAAACTGCTCATAGCATTAAATTAATAATAATAAAACCCAATTATACATGAATCTTTTTGTTTCTATTAATAAAAACGTTATTTAAAATCAGATTATTTGTTTCTTCTAAGTGTGATATTATAAGGACTGCTAAATTAGCCAAGTCAAACATTTCCAGAAATACCATGGGACAACTGAGCTGCTCTTATTTCTTTGATAAATTCTTTGTTCCAATTCTGATTTCCACGTCTCTGCTTTCTTGTGTGAAAATATCTTCCCCTTAATTTGTTAAAATGAATCTCACGGAAAAAAATCCAATTAACAAACAAAGGCAATTAAGTTTTTTTTTTGTTGCACAGACTCTTGGGACTACAAAATGATCAAGTAATTTATGGCACCAGTGCTAACACTGTGACTGGGAACAAGAAGAGTACAACCACAATAAAATACAGCCATCTATTAGAAGGACTGCATAAAGACATCTTTGGCCATGTAGGCTCTGGGCCCTCTGGAAATAAGTCAGTTGCATTGCCAACATGACAAAGAAAATAGCAATGTTCAGAATCAGGAAGAGCCTCGTGTACGAAGCAGATAGTGACGGGGCTCTGTGAGTAGTTGTCACCATCCGCACCTGTCCAAACTGGCCTTTCATCAAGCCACCATTTTTGTGTTTCTCATATGTTACATCTGCAAAATCTAAAAGATCTTTCATTTCCTCATCTTCATCGATGGGCAGTTCTTTCTGTGCCAAAATCTGGGCTTTCCGTCTAATCTTTTTTTCATTGACTTCAATCTGTGCAAAAATATCAGGGACAGCGTCCACAAACTTGTAGTGCTTCCCTGGCCGTCGGCTTCTCTTCGACTTGCTGTGCTGCTGTTGCTGTGATATGGCAAAAATCCGGTCGATGGCCTCCTCAGTCTGTCTCTTATCTGAAAACCTCAGCAGGCGCTCAGCAGTCTTCCTGAAACTAGCTGTGTTCCGGACTCGGGACAGGATCTGCTTCTCCAGCAGCTGGAACACTGGTTTAAAATGCTGCAGGTTCTGTCCCACAATAGCACTGTAGTCCTCCACCTCAGGGACAGTAGTGCTCTTGATGGCTGAACTCTGGTCGAACAGAATTTTCTGATGATCTGCAATGACCTGTGCAAAGGCAGACTGTCCCATGGCCTCTGCCGTCCAAAGGTAAGTGGCATAGGCGTGCTCGCTGGTGGCAATGAACACATCCAGTTGCTGGGAGTCACCATGGATGCTGAAGCTCTGAACATCTACAGATGGCCCTATGAAGAGGTAAGCTGTCCTAGTGATGGGGCTTCGGAGGTGCATGGTGACATTCACATAGTTTGTCCCGTTGTAGGGATAACCCCGAGGGTATGTCACTGAAGCAAAGGTTGCTTTTTCACTGTAACCAGTATCATCCATCCAGTACATTTTGTAGAGACCATCTTGCTGCCTGATGAAAGCCCCATGGACCCCGTCTACCACTGTCTCCTCAAAAGGAACATCCACATTGTGGAAGAAGCTTGCTGCTGTCTCCAAGGGGCTCTCCTCCCCCAGGTGTATTTGGTCCACAAGGAGGAGAAGCTGTGGATGCAGGAGGATCAGATTCCTCTGAAAGTTCTTCAGATGGAGCTGTGGGTTATAAGCTCCCACACCCTCTCCTCGGATGAAAACCACTCCATTTTTCTCCACTGCTGCAACCACTCTCCCCTGACAGCTAGCTGCCAGGTCGTGCTTGTATTTAGACCATTTTGATGAGCAGTCTTCTGTGACCTGACCCTCCCAGGGAGAAAAGCAGCTCTTTGAAACAGCTGGGGAAAACATCAAAACATTGTTGAAGAAGGTATACTTTGGCCCATAGAGAGCCTCAGTAATGAAAGGCACACCATTGGGAGCAAAAGTAAATGAGTTTTGATCAGGGTGTTCATGCCCTGCATTAAAATTTCTCCATCCTTTGATCCAGTCTTTGTATTTGTTTCTGTGGACAATGTCATATATTGCACGTCCCCCAAGTTTTCCTGACTTGAAGGAGAGAAAAGATCTATTGATTTCTACAGGCAGTGCACTTCCATAAGTCACAACACCCCAGTCTTCAAAATAATGCAATGTAGGTGTGCCAAAATCTGGAGGAGGAACAGATCTCAAGCTGGCATCATACCTGGAAGGATTAATTTTTTAAAATTAAATGGTTTTCTGATGGATGTAAAGTAATACATCAGAACTGTGATGGCACATGGTAATGTGGCTGGAGGAAGCAATGCTCAAATGCTCCCCAGAGCACTGGCCGTGCAGACTGTATGAGGGACATTTCTGAAAACACCTGCCGATAATCAGCATGTGCTGGGGAATGGGACAGGAGTGCATCTTATACATCCTGTAATCCTTGGGTTTTACCCTGAAGTAATTGCTGGGGCTAATGATTACATTAACAACTTCAGAGCTGCCATCCAAACAACAGGGCTCACAGAATGAAGCACTTCATCTAATGTTGTAGTTGAGGGGCTCCTATTCTAGTGAAACTCCTGTTAGGATCTGGACTCTAACAAGCCTTGAGTTGTAATGAAGTTATTTTCAACAAGACATATTATTCATAGTTTGGTAGATACTTTTTAAACTCTAAAAAAATTAATTTAAAGAGAGTTGAACTCCACAAATTAGATAAAATTTACTGCCAATACTACATCTAGAAATATAAATGCATGAGATTCAGGAAAGTATTAATACTGATTGATTAATGTTGTGGCTACCACTGCCAAGTCCAGATCCAAAGGATTTGTTTTAATCTGCAAATGCTGTCATGCATTTTGGACAACAAATGGCCTCTTATTTTTATTTATGATAAACGTTTATTTTCAAAGTAATGTAGCAATTAACATTAAACCTCCACAGTGATTAAGAACACAGGTTTTTGATTCAGAAAAGCCCTCAAAATATTAATAAATATAACTGTCTTTGATGATTTGAAATAACTTGACAGGTTATGGTTTCCTGCTGATAGGAAGAAAAGCAGCCCTGTGTAATTAGCTCTTAAATACCTTTGCCATAACCTATGGTAGAGTTAATCTTACTGGTATTTGATTTTGCCTACTTCATCTGTTGTTCTAGAGTTTGTGTCAGGACATCAGGAATTGCTTAGGCCTACTATAATAATGCTGCCTTAATTATTGTGATTTAACAAATTCAGATACAAGATGAATTGGCTGTACTTCTCTCAGTTTTTGGTCAGTTTGCATATTCCTTTAGGCAGATTTTTGAACCAAGTTAGATTTAGCATTAATCTGACTCCTATAGTCAGCTTTATAGAGCTCTCTTGGTTGCTTATTTATGGGTAAGTGAAAACACTAGTAAATAATTACTTCATACCCCTAACAAGGTGTCAAAAATGGTTGCATATGCATATATTTAGTTCATTTAGTTAATTTGTGAAACTAGTTTTAAAAATTCTGGTTAAATTATAGATAGTTACCCCTTTACTAATTGTTTAAATTTAAACAAATTAAAATTTTAAACAAGGTTAAATTTAAACCCCCTCATAATTGTTTAAATTTTTAAAAAATAATGGAAAGAAGAAATTGAACCATAGGAGCTTATTTTGGAGTTGAATACAAATTTTAATAGGTAGAAAAGACATCAGGCATTAATGACTAACTAGTTCCCTGTAATTTTAATTTATTGGATGCCAACAACATGCTTGGCAGTACTTTTAAAAGGAGACCCTGGCTTCTCCTTCTGAGCTTAAAAGATTAAGGCAAAAAAATTACATGGTTCTTTTATTATCAAAGTGAAAGTGCCAAATACTGTCAAATATTTTTAAATAGTTTTGAAAATTTAGTGACAGCTTTGTTATTAGGTTATAATGCTCCATTTAGCAGAACAAAACAAAATACTTTTCTACCTTTATTTTTTGTGATTATCAGAATAACGTAGTCTAAATTTTGTGGGTTTTCTCTTGACATGATTTCAAAAATGATGTAAACCAAAATATGCTTATCTATGAAATAGTGTGAGCCTAGGACATAACTATAAGAAAAACAAAATCTGCAAACAGTAATTAGATCTTAAATGTAAGGAAATGTTTCTACCAGAGTTTTAAACACCGTGATATGAACTGAAGCTGCAAGCACTTAGGTGGCATAGAGAAAGGATTAAAAAGTGCTTTAGATTAGTTTTTAGTTTTTTAACGCAAAAAACAAGCACACTGTACCTCTGGGTACAGTTTCTTTTTAAAGTCAGCCCAATGTGTCATACCAGAGAAATTCTGTGTGAAGAGTACACCAGCGCTGCCCTTTGGATGGTGTCCCTGGACCTTCCATCACACGATTCCTTCTGATTTGGTCAGCCAGCCAATTACCACTGCCGTTACGCATGACAAATTTATCCAGGAACACTAACTGGCTTTCTGGACCATAAAACCAGTTGTAATTTGAGTCTGCAATAGCCACAGTTCTTTGAAACCCTGGGGAAAGAAGTTTGACAGAACTAAGGTAAGTTTAAAACTGCATACTCCCATAAAGGTCTAAGTAATGACTTTCAGTGTTGGTTGCAAATTAGAATCAATTGTGTATCTTGGAAAAATAATTAACGAAACCATAATGCCCATGCCCCAGTCAGAACAGTAATCCGAACCCCTCTGAAGACCTCCCACAAATCATGTGTGCAAGTTTGCATTATTCTTTGGCAACTTGTCTCTGATAGTGGGAATGCCACAACTATTTATGTACACTGCCCACCTTTCTCATTTTCTCCAATGTCCATGCTATGTGCAACTATGTGTGCAGAGATACACAGGCTGTTCTCTTGCGTGTAGTGAGTTCCTGAACCCGGAATGAGCACAAGCTCTACTACATCTATGCCAAGGTGCTTCAAGTTAAGGTACATCCAATGTTACAGGTTTAGTAGAGAAACTGAGTTTCCATAGGAAGAAAGTAAGGATTCCCATAGGAGACACTGCCAAATACGTACCTCTGGAAGTTTAAGATAAAGAGAGAAAAGGCAAATATCATACTGGAATAGGTCAGAGACACAAAAGCAACTGACACCAAATGTGCTCTAGGCATTCTTAAAAAAGAAGAATGGGGAAAACTCTGGGCTAGCCAGGAATAATCATTGCTAGAATCACCACACAGAGAAAAAGAGAGAAATGTTAAGAGAAATTTGATCCATCATGTTCCAAGTTTATATTGACTTAACACAGAACCCCTTCTGAAATGCTACCATGACTATATTTACATAATTTACAGATGTTTTTGCTTCTACCAGTTTGGTAAATGCTCTTCCAAGTAAAACTTTTTATAAAATATGATTTTCTGCATCTTTTATTCATCTGTGTGATCCTTGAAAGCAGATAATATTTTACTCTTCTTGCAGTCCCTTGCCTAGTACCCTAGTCGGGTACCTGGTATATAGATTTTCCTAAAGTTTGTTGGGTTAATTGTCATAAATACATGAATGTTCCTTTAAGAGGTGTTTATATTGTCTTTTTCAGCTTAGGAAGTTGCCACACACACAGCTCACAGCAGATGCAAGCCCAGTGTGGCTGGTCATTAGATCTCAGATCAAATTACAAAGCATGGAGAACTCTTAAATGTCCCTTGCTTTAGATGGCCTTTGTTTACCAAGATAAACTACAAAAAAAAAAAAAAAAAACAAATAAAGACTTCTCCTCATGTCTAAGCAGGGTCATGAATGTAAGTGCAAACTAAATCTTAATATGGTTTTTTTGCTCTACAGTATTTTTGTATAACTAGTCCAATAATGAAGATTCTATCCAACCCATGTGTATACAACCAGGGCAAAAAGACTTAAATACTGAGTTATTTATTATAGTTGTGGAACCGTTATCTAAAAATTTAATTTCACAGGGGGAAAAAAACCCATCCTGATGAAAATTTGCCTCCTAAACTTTTTCTGACATCTTAGCCCTGCTTGGAAATAAGGAATTATAAAGCTTTCCTAGGAATGAATAAATTCTGAAATCATACATATCTTTTCTTTAGAGCTAGCTCCCTTAGAAGGCTAAGTTATGCAGCAACAAGAATTTACAAGTTTTATAGTAATTCATTTTTGGATTAGTTTTCTGTTTTATAATCTTTAAATAAAATATTTAAAGAAAATACTAAAACTCTTACTTAAATATATAGGTATAAGTTTTCATTTTGAATCATGTCTACGTAGTTTGAAAGGAAAAAATAAAAACTGAAAAAACAGGATCAATAAAGAAACATATAAGGGAAAATTAACATGTAAACATAAATGTTCATATTCTGTTTAGATTCATGAAAATGAATTTGTATATGTATGCAAGTTTTACATATACAGAAATAAGAGCCTATGGATGCACAAATTGTATTTTATCCATCAAGCTTCAAGATTTACAATACTGAATCACAAATCCTTACATTAACTCCCTAAATATTCTTGAGTTCTTTTGTGATTTAAAAGAAAAAACCCTTTAATCACAATATGACTCAAACCCCACACTTCTTTGCTTGGTCTAACCCATTTTCATAATCAGAAGAAGTTACAATAGCTCATGTTTTCCACTTCCCATTCCTCACTATACCTGGCAGGATGGTTCTATACATAAATGCAAAGTGTTGTTTAAGCCATGGATGGCCAAAGTGGTTGATATCAAAGTGCCTCTGAACCAGAAACATATACTGGAAGAGTGATCTAGTGGTGTAGCTGCCATATGCAACTCCTTCATAGAGGGAGCCATCTGTCACCTCCCGCAGCAAGACCAGAGACTTCTCCATGATGGTCAGGACTTGTTTAGTCCATAAGTAGGCTTCTTGAAGATACCCTGAAGGACAAAAATATGTGGGGACAATGACTAAGGCTGTAATGAAGCATAAACAAAAAAATGGCCACATAAGACCCTCTGAGTCATCTGACTAGTTACAAACTGCATTTTATAAAACTGTCACTTATTAACATTATAAATAACATCCTTCTAATCCAGGTTTGTGATGGGTCCATTATGTAAGTGAAATTCTTGAATACAGATTATTTATTAATTAAATGGAGACAGACCTTTACGTACCAGTCATTTTCCAATCTTCAATAAACTGAAACCACATCAATCTAAAATTACATAACTTTATGTCTGCCAGAAAAGAACTTTCAAGACTTATTCAACTTACTTTAAACTATTACTTGAAAATGTTTTTTGAAGTTTATCACTTTATGCAACATTTTTTATAGGAACTGTAGTAAGCTGCAAATACTATGAAGGCTAAGCAACAGTCTTAAGTATGTTCTGTCATCAGAGGACAGTCTTTTATCTGCTTTCAGATTCCACAGGATCTGAAAGGACAGCACAGCAGGGTGGAAAGACGACTGGAGGGCTATGTAGAAGAAAATTAACTGGGAGCCCCGAATCTGCCAAAAATGAGTGACCTGATTTTGTTTACGCACTTCTTCAACCTGTCACATTTTTCAATCTCCTCAACTGAAAATTCGTCTAAAAATTTTTATAAAATCCTTTTGACTCAAAAATCCTAGCTTTGTATAATTCTTGAAAGACTAGCATTTAGGTAATGATAACAACTCCTCACATTTCTGTACATAATTTACAATGGCATTGAACAAAACCTTACTTAATCCTTTTAACAACTCAATTATGCATTACTACTCCAAAGTTAACAAAAGGTGGACTTGTTCATGACCTCTGGCACATGACTAAACATGAACAGAACTTTGATCTGAACCTGGGTGTTTAGATTTAAGGTTTGTTTTATTTGCTTGTATTTAAACATACATGAAGATAAAATTAAGCTCGTTGCTTCCTAATGTGGATGGAGTCATACTGCTTCACTTCCATAGACATGTGTGTGATCATCAATGATGAACACCCAGCCATGACCTAGATATGCTGGATGTGGGGGCTTTCAGAGGCCCAGGAACCACCAGCTCCCAGCCTAAATCCAAGTGGGAGCATGTACTAAGACTAGTCATAAAGCTGCTTTGCTTACAACAAGGCAACTATGATGTCAGCTTGGGTATCCCCTCAGCGTGATCCCCTCAGCTAGTCCACACCCACCTTGATTCATCAGAACTAGGCTTCCCGTGAGCAAGGCCAGACAGTTGGTGGGCTGGTGATTGTGCAGGTACTGAAATCCCCATCCTCTCCTGTATGATGTTTCATACATATACCCTGACACATTGGCAATCACTTCAAGAAACTTCTCCTGTTGCGTCTTGCTTAGGTAGTTGTACAAGAAGTCATAGGCAGTGGCAAAACCAACCAGGGAGTGAGCGAGTGGGACTTCATCCCAAGGAGCATCCCTCACCAGCCTGTAGGAGGAAATGAACCATGCAGATGAGTGCAACAAGGCTCAGAGCTTTCACCACGCTTTTTATGTGTCTATTTCTCAGAATTAAAAGACATAATTGCAGATATCATCCAAGGAATTTAATGACACAGAATTGACTTCCTTCCATATAGACACAGCATAAATTTGTCTAATGTGAAAATTACAGAGATAACATTTTTCTCTCTCCTGCTTCTGGCTACATCAAGATGCTGAGAATTTTTACTTTTGTTTCTTCTCATAAAATAAACTGCATTACCTTTAAGGCGCTTTGAATATCTTCTGGAGATGCCTAAAAGCAGATCTGTAAAGTATCAAGCTGTCACTTCCTAGGAAGCCAAATTTCTGCCTCACTTGCTACATTATTCTGCAAATATTTTAATAGCTTGTGGCTTGTGTTAAACAGGAAGCTAAAAAGGATCTTTCACAATCAGAACCCTATGGACTTACCCAGAAAACCCTCCCCATCTGGATGTATGTGAGCAATTTCTGAAAGAGGGAAACAAATGAAGAGCTGGCTGTGCTTGTGGGGTGGCAGAGGGAAGCTTTCAATCAGGGATTAAAGCTTAACATTTCTATGCCATGAACCTCTTTTGGCCATTTACTGAAGTCTTAGGTTCTTTCTTAATATGTTTTAAAGTTCATAAAGATACAATATGTAGGGATATAAGGAAATCCATTACTTTAAAATGTAACTATACAGGTATTTTTTGAAATTGTGATATATGTGCTTTTTTAAGGCATTAAATGACATGATTTAAGAGCAGTGATAGTAACTACCATATTTATAAGTAGTGATGAGCATAAACAATATTTTGAGATGTCCATGATAACCAGAATGTGGTATGAAAATATCTGTGACAAAGTTACAGGTCCTCCCAATATTATTATAGTTGGTTATCTATATTCATGATTTGGCAGAAATACTAAATTTCAGTTGGAATTAGTGAAAATTAACATGCTATATTTTCCCCATAGAAACCACCACCAACACCTGGTCAAGAATACTTAAAAGTGTTTTCAGAGACTACCTCTTCCAGACTATGTTCGGTCTTTAGGAGCTTATATTAGAGGCATGATCTTTGAGGCCTTCTCTGGTCACCCTGTCAGAATTTCAGCATCACTCTCCAACCAATATCTCACTTTTTTTTTTCCTATTGGCATTTATGTATATATATGTGTGTGTGTGTGTGTGTGTGTATATCTGAGTTTATGTACATGTGTATATGCATATGTAGATCCTACTAGAATTTAAATTATGCAAGTGCAGGGTTCTATTTTATCTGTTGTATTCACTATTAGATTCCCAATCCTCCATATGATAGACTGTCAATAAACATTTTTGGAAAACAAAAATGAAGGAACAAGCCTATAAAACTAAGCCAACACTGTTGACAGTGAATGTGTTATCATTATGAAACCAGAAATTTGGAGGAATCCTTTTAGTATTTAATAATAATTTCAGTGTGTGGTTAGCTATGTTGGTGATATGGCCACAGGCTAACAAGACTAAGGTTGATAAGTTCCTTAGCTCTTTGGCCACAGATAACAACCACCTTGCCATCCAGCTTGCCAGTGTGTACTGGTTGTAAATAGACTGTGAAAAGTGTGAATTAATTCCCCACTTCTAAGGAAAAAAAAACAAAACTCATACTGCAGGCTCGTGCCATGAAGTTAAGAATACTATCTTCCCTGTCCATGGTGATTGGTGAGCCAGGCAGAGAGAGACTCCAGCCTTAACATGTCTGATTAATCAATGAATTTATAGACAAAAGAACATTTAACATAATTCTTATCCTTCAGGAAATATCACTATGCAATTTCTGTGAAAATTTCCAAGCTCCCACATACAGTGGCTACTCCAAGCAGTTTCCAATTCAACAAAATACTAGCATACTGACCAAAAAAAAAAAAAAGCTTATGGTACCATCAGGTTCATCACTAATCATTATGAAATCTGGCCTGTGATAGCTGTAAATCTAAAAGGCTTATGTAAATCCTTTATCAATACAATCTTACCCAGCTTCAGATACCAAGTGCAATAATGGAAAAGAGTATATTTTACTATCATGGAAACCAAAGGAAACTGCTTCTAGCTCATAGATGGCAGCAAAGAAACAATCTAATTCAATGTGATCCTGACTAGTGGCTAGTAAATCTATTGGAAAATTTGGTTAAGTGGTGAATCCTTAAGAAAAGATACAAGCATTAACTATGGACTTTACTTCAGCCTAAAATATCTACACATAAACACATTCACTTATCTTTTGAAGGTGAGCTAAAACTTTTTCTTTGAGTATGGGTCTATGGATCAGTCTCATTGTTCTTTCTTGCAAAGACAACATGTAACACATCACCACAATTTCCAGCTCTAGTTTCTTTAAATATAGGATGAAATTAAAGGTACTTGTGAAAAAATATAGACTCCTTCTAGATTTTTATGCTTTCTCTAAACTTTTATAACTCTCATCCATACTTAATTATGACAGCAGTTTTTTACAATAAGTCATTCGAAAGCATTTAAGTTGGTTTTAGACACATTCTTTTTTTTTTTGAACTCACACTTAGTCTATTTACATGATACTATAAACATTTTGTAATTACATTTATTAGTGAAGATGGCATAAACTAGTTTGAGAGCAAATACAATGGACACTTTGCTAATACACATGTAACTGTACTGGAGGAACAGAGATTAATGGACATAGGAAAGAGCAGGTGCCCAACTTTGACATTCAGCATCCCATGAGAGTAGCTGCCACATTACACAAGGCATGGAGGATAATTTTACTGGCAAGTCAGCTGAAAGGAGGTTAGGAGAATGTTTACTGTTTTCCTATTTTTTATAAGTTACACTTTCTCCCCTTAGTGGGCTGTACTTAAAGTAAGGTTCACTGACCCCTGGGGTCTCTAACACTCTTTTAGGTAGTCCAAAAGTAAAAATTATATTTATAATAATATAAAGATGGTATACATTGAAACTTGCACTAATAGTGCAAAAGCACTAACAGGTTAAAAATGTTGGCACCTTAACAAGGTCAGGCATAGGCACCAAAGTGATCTAGTAACCCTTGTGTGATACTGCAGGATGCCATGCACTTTAAGAAAGAAAGAAAAATTTTTTTTCACTTAAGAATATCCACAAAGACCAATATCCCTGATGAACATAGATGCAAAAATACTCAGCAAAATATTAGCAAACTGAATTTAAAAATACATTAAAAACATCATCTATCATGATCAAGTAGAATTTTATTACAAGGATGCAAGGATGGTAAACATTAGAAAATCCATCAACATCATCCACCACATCAACAAAAAGGACAAAAACCACATGATCATCTCCATAGATGCTGAAAAAGCATTTGACAAAATTCAACATCCATTCATGATAAAAACTCTCAGCAAAATGGGAATAGAGGGCAAGTACCTCAACATAATAAAGGCCATATATGATAAACCCACAGCCAGCATTATACTGAACAGCGAGAAGCTGAAAGCATTTCCACTGAGATCGGGAACCAGACAGGGATGCCCACTCTCCCCACTGTTATTTAACATAGTACTGGAGGTCCTAGCCACGGCAATCAGACAAAACAAAGAAATACAAGGAATCCAGATTGGTAAAGAAGAAGTTAAACTGTCACTATTTGCAGATGATATGATACTGTACATAAAAAACCCTAAAGACTCCACTCCAAAACTACTAGAACTGATATCGGAATACAGCAAAGTTGCAGGATACAAAATCAACACACAGAAATCTGTAGCTTTCCTATACACTAACAACGAATCAATAGAAAGAGAAATCAGGAAAACAATTCCATTCACCATTGCATCAAAAAGAATAAAATACCTAGGAATAAACCTAACCAAAGAAGTGAAAGACTTATACTCTGAAAACTACAAGTCACTCTTAAGAGAAATTAAAGGGGACACTAATAAATGGAAACTCATCCCATGCTCATGGCTAGGAAGAATTAATATCGTCAAAATGGCCATCCTGCCCAAAGCAATATACAGATTTGATGCAATCCCTCTCAAATTACCAGCAACATTCTTCAATGAATTGGAACAAATAATTCAAAAATTCATATGGAAACACCAAAGACCCCGAATAGCCAAAGCAATCCTGAAAAAGAAGAATAAAGTAGGGGGGATCTCACTCCCCAACTTCAAGCTCTACTACAAAGCCATAGTAATCAAGACAATTTGGTACTGGCACAAGAACAGAGCCACAGACCAGTGGAACAGATTAGAGACCCCAGAAATTAACCCAAACATATATGGTCAATTAATATTTGATAAAGGAGCCATGGACATACAATGGCAAAATGACAGTCTCTTCAACAGATGGTGCTGGCAAAACTGGACAGCTACATGTAGGAGAATGAAACTGGACCATTGTCTAACCCCATATACAAAGGTAAACTCAAAATGGATCAAAGACCTGAATGTAAGTCACGAAACCATTAAACTCTTGGAAAAAAACATAGGCAAAAACCTCTTAGACATAAACATGAGTGATCTCTTCTTGAACATATCTCCCCGGGCAAGGAAAACAACAGCAAAAATGAGCAAGTGGGACTACATTAAGCTGAAAAGCTTCTGTACAGCGAAAGACACCATCAATAGAACAAAAAGGAACCCTACAGTATGGGAGAATATATTTGAAAATGACAGATCTGATAAAGGCTTGACGTCCAGAATATATAAAGAGCTCACACGCCTCAACAAACAAAAAACAAATAACCCAATTAAAAAATGGGCAGAGGAACTGAACAGACAGTTCTCCAAAAAAGAAATACAGATGGCCAAGAGACACATGAAAAGATGCTCCACATCGCTAATTATCAGAGAAATGCAAATTAAAACTACAATGAGGTATCACCTCACACCAGTAAGGATAGCTGCCATCCAAAAGACAAACAACAACAAATGTTGGCGAGGCTGTGGAGAAAGGGGAACCCTCCTACACTGCTG